ACCCCATTTCAAGCAAATCTTCAGCAAATCTTTACTACGGCACCACCAGCACCCCATCACCATTGGCTCACATCAGGATCAGTATCAGTGAAATCACACTGAACTGAACACAAAGCAAAGAAATATTTCTCTTCAAACTGATCTGAGTTCAGAGGATCTTCTGGATCCAGATGTGACTCTTCAGCACAAACTACAAACATTCATTGACTTTAACAATTAACACTGAACATTTTCTACAGTTTCTGATACAAACACTCAGCTTTTGTCACAACAAACTGAATTCAGGACAAAAAGCAGAAAACATGAACCAGAGCAGATTTACAGCTTCATGGATGAAGTTCTGTTTGAACATAAATGAGCTTCAGTTGTCATTAAACACATCAGATCTCCAACAGTAACAGACAGTCAGTGAACTGACCTCAGAGTCTGCAGGCTGCAGTCTGGTCTCTCCAGAAAACCACACAGATGCTTCACTCCTGAATCCTGCAGGTTGTTGTCATTCAGCTCCAGATGTTTCAGATGGGAGGGGTTGGACTTCAGAGCAGAGACCAGAGAATCGCAGCAGATCGCTGACAAATTGCAGCTCATCAATCTAAATAAAGAATAAAAGATGTGAGTTGAGGAGACAAATTTCCTGCTTGAAATCATTCAGAGTTTCATCATGTGTTCAGAGCTGAAGAAGCGTCGGACTGTACAAGTTGAAGCCAACAGGATGCAGCTTCAAACAGTCCAACAGAAGCAGAGAAGAAGAGCTGTCATTAATATGAATGACAACATGCTGCTGCTTCTATAAAGACGGAGCCACTTCAGCTCTGAACCTCTGCAGCTCCACCAGTGGCTCCATCCATACAGACTCATGCTGAGCAACAAACACAAGGAACAACACTCTGACATTTATTTCACTTTCTGCTCAGAGTCACAGAAACATTTGTTATATTGAGCTTTGAAATGTGCAGCTCAACATTTCTCTGCCAGTCAAAGGACAAAAGCAGTGAAGAAGAAAACAGATGTCAGTGTAGGACACATACAGGTTGAAGATGAGGAGCACAGTGTGCTTGAGTGTGTGTGTGTTGCAGAGGCAGTGGTTCACATGGGAGTAGGCGTGTACACGTGCGGAAGTGTGTGTCTGTGTGTGTAAAGGTGTGCACTCAGGGTTGGGTAGTAGCCGTAATGTTTGTTGATCGCTACCCACTCATTCATTCATCACCTTTTTATCTATTTAATCTGCTGGTTTTCATTTTTCCATTCATCCATCTTTGCTGCGCTGTGATAGCTCTGTGCTGTTTCTCATAATAAATGCACCAAAAGCATCTTTGGATCTCAGCGTATCTGTCATCATAGCCTCCTAGCGCGTCACAAATCTGTGAACCTGAGGACCCAACCTCATACTCTCAGCAGCTAAAAGGTTTGCTGTGGACACTGCAACACGTCAGCATGAAGATCCTCAGTGTGGATCAGTAGAAGATCAGCCTGATGGCTGCAGTTTAATGCCACCACAACTGTACATCACATTCATCTCAGCACACAAAGAAAACATGATGTCTGACCTCAGAGTCTGCAGGATGCAGTCTGGATTCTCCAGAAAACCACACAGATGCTTCACTCCTGAATCCTGCAGCTTGTTGTTAGTCAGGTCCAGAAGTTTCAGATGGGAGGGGTTGGACTTCAGAGCTGAGACCAGAGATTCACAGCTGATCTCTGACAACCTGCAGCCCCTCAATCTGAATAAAGAATAAAAGATGTAGATAAAATCAGTGATGATCCATCAGATGTGTTCAGGTTCTGAATGTGCAGCTCAACATGACCTCAGTCCACTCTCTCATCACAGGACCAACATCACATCTCACATGTTGGACTACACTCTCTTTATTCTTTCATTTATTCCATCACCTTCTTCTGTTGTTTATCAGCTAGCTAGCTTTGTGTCATTAAAATGTTCCAGTGTGTCATCAGACAGCAGCCTCATGCCATGTGTACGTTACAGAGGGATTCTGCTTCCTGCTGTCCACACAGACTGTCTACTGCTCTCTTCCTCACACAACTCCACTGGAAGGAATCACTGGATGAGCTCAGCTCACACTAACATCCAGCTTCAGCTTCTGACTGACACACATCAAGTGAGCGTCTACCCAAGTTACAGCAGTGGCGGCTGGTGAAAATGTTTGGTGGTGGGGCGCAGTCTGCAAATGACCTTTTACTGAAAATCAGAAATTAGAATATGAGTAACATCAGACACAACGATTTACAGGAATGCAAATTGTCTACCTTTGGAAGTTATTCTAATCATAATCTAATTTAACATTGTCAAGACTTACCAGAATTAAATTTCAAAATCATTTATCAAACTTTCATCCAAAATTGCAGGATCTATACAAACTCAAAACACACAACATAAATAATGAAAAAAACATTATTCAGGGCTCCAGACTAGCTTTTACACTGGTAGCACCAGCACGACCCACTTTCTCATTTTGTTGCACCTCCCACCTGGTCAAAGGCAAGACTTGCTGAACATTTTCTTATCGATTGACGATTTACTGATGCTCTCTGAACGCCCCACATAGCAGACTGTGGTAGCTGCTGTTTGGTGGCTGCGGAGTGTACTCTGACAGTTGTGTGGCCAAAAATGACTTTAAAAATAATAAACTAGGGCGTTCTCACGTCAGATTTGTCCGAGCTTAAGACCAGTTACATGTATTCTAGATGCGGTCTCCTCTATGAGCAGTCTTTTCTCCACTGACAGCATGGCCAATGCATTAAGCTGTCACGACAGTAGCTGTGATCTGGTAGCAGAGGAGGAGAAAGGCCGTGTGACGGTGTCAGAAAGCGCAGTCGTAAGAACGTCAAAGGACAGTTTTGATGTCCAACCACAGAAGACAAAAGCAAATAAAGACAAAACTAATTGACTTACAGTAAAGGTGAGAAACGTGAGAAAGTCTGCAGCTGCCAATCAGAGCCCGGGCCGAGGTCACATGATCATGAAAAGTTTTTCGAGCTACATACACATTGGCTGTGTCCGAAATCACCCACTCATTCCCTACTCCCTATATAGTGATAGGGAGCAACTCAGCTAAGTAACATTTCGGACACTACTCGAGCTTTTAATTACGTCGCTCGCTAGCCGCGATTTGTGCCGCAACAGTGTAATACAAACACATCAAATTCACGGTTTATTGCGTAGCTAAGAAATCAAATTAAATCAAGTTTATTGTCATTTTGCTGTACATACCAGATGAGAGAGCGTTTCTTCAGGATCCAGTAACTTCAAGCAGTTTAAATAAAGTGCTGTTGTATGTCCAAATCAAAACCGAGCGCCGCGATTTTAGTGCCGTTCACTGTCTGGGTAAAATAAAATTTAACAGAACAAACGGGAATTTTTTGCGCTCTCGTTCGTCTCATTTCCATTTCCTATCGCGCAATGCATGACGGTCCATATTACTGGGTTAGTGACCATCGGCTGTACATATAGATTGTATAAAAGATAGATTATACAGTCTATGGCTGTACACTACTTTTCATGGTGCATTGTGGGATATTTTGAGTGCACTATATAGGGTGTAACATTTGTAACTTAATATTCGGACACCCCTACAAAATGGCGTGTACGCTATATAGCGCACTTGATTTCGCACACAGTCACTAATGTGGCCGGCGCCCCGCATCCAGGAAGTGTAAAACTAGTAAACACGCAGTAAAGATTAATATTAAATCTGTTAATAATACAAATATTGTTAATATAGCAAAACAACATAAATGTTATTATTAATTTTATTATTAACTTTACGTTTGAGAACTACTTTTTATGTGGTCATTGGTAGTGGGGGAGAAGGGGTCAGCGTCCTGTACTAACCAGCCACCACTGAGTTACAGACTGTTGACAACTAAAGTCCCTCTTTGAGTTCCTGAGGATCCACTGCAGCTCAGAACAAACACTGTGGAAACACCAACATCCTGACTGGATGTGAGGAACTCAGACTGCTGAAGCCTCACATCACTTTACATCAGCTTCACATTCACACACACAGCAGGACTGTGGATTCGGTCCTCCATCTGGGAACACTGCAGTCAGCTGATCAGGGCGTTTATTCACACACGCTTCAAGGAATTCAAACATCTTCAGACTATTTTCAGGAAAATCCTCAAAATTGATCAACCAAAGTCTAAAACTTCAGGTAAGAATCTGAACTGAATAAATTCCACCAACAGCCAGTGAACTGACCTGAGAATCTCCAGTTTACAGTTTGGACTCTTCAGTCCATCACAAAGACGCTTCACTCCTGAATCCTGCAGGTTGTTCCAGCTCAGGTCCAGTTGTGTCAGATGGGAGGGGTTGGACTTCAGAGCTGAGGCCACGACTTCACAGTGATTCTCTGAGAGTCCACAGTCAGAAAGTCTGTCATGACACATAAAAGACAGAACATGTTATGATGAGAGACTTTATGTTTCCTGCTGAGAAGAACATGTTGTGTCCTGTTTCTACTGTGACTCAGGATGTTAGTTCCAGCTGAAAGATGATGATGTCTCTGCTGTGGATCTGCTGCTGTCAGCTTTACCTCCATCAATCAACATCTACAGTTTGCTGTCAAATGCTGCTCAAACTGATCGAGCCTCTAGGGTCAGCTGGATGTAACAAAAACTAGTTGGTGTTGATTGAGGTAAAGCAATTTATTGCTCAGTAACGTAAATGAACATAACAGAACTGACAATACAAAGGAAGCTGGTGGATGTTGTTAAAAGTCAAAAGAACCAAAGGAAGGCTAACAGAGTGTCAAAAGGTAGCTAACAGAAAACAAACCTAAACTCCTTAGCCAAACTTAAATCTCATAGTAACACCCACACATAACAAAAGAAACTAAAACAAAGTAGTGCCTCAAAACACACAGTACAAAAACCACAAGACCCAAGTAACTTTTTCACGAAGTCGGTAACGGGAGTCATAGTCTTCATCAACACTCTCTCAAACTCCCACAACAAGTTGGCAGCTGCCAACAGAAGTTACATTACAACAAACGCAAAAGACACGGACCTAGAGGAACCAGGGTGGACTGTTCACACAAAATCCCAACCAGCCCCGACTGAAAGATTGCTGATTGATTTTATAGCCAGGTGCGGCAATTGCTGGGGTTTTGGAGGAGTGGCGGTGGTCCAATCAGGTGTGACCGGAGGTGGGGAGAATAAGGGCTGGAGTGCAGGTCTGTGTCGGAAATCCCCCCCTATACCCTACATAGTGCACTATAAAGAGTGTTCGGCATTTTGTAGTGCTGTCTGAATGTTAGGTTACAAATGTTACACCCTATATAGTGCACTCAAAATATCCTACAATGCACCATGAAAAGTATTGTACAGCCAATGGTCACTAACCAAGCCACATGGGCCATCATGCATTGCGCGAAAGGAAATGCAAACCAGATGAACGAGAGCGCGAAAACTTGTCATAAAAATGTAAGCAATTTCTCGTTTACCCCTTTCTTAGATGGCTTAGATGAGATGGTGGCACGCATCAACGCAGCGGCTCCTTCAGGAGACAGCGAGAGCGAAAATTTTGAGTGTCTTGTCCCAGACGTTCATTCTGAAAAATTTACAGCCGAGAGACTTTGCTTAACATCAGGGCAATGAACGTCGCTAAAATTGCAGCGGCCGAATGTGATTTGGACATACTACACCAACATGGAGTCCGATCGGAGTCTATGCCGGCAGTTACCCAAGAGAGAAGGAAGCGGTACGAACGTAAACAAACGAGGAGGAAGACAGCCAGGATCCATGCTAGACTAAAGGCTAACCCCTCCAGACCAGCAGCACCGTCCTCCTACTCTCCAATGTCCGCTCCCTCCACAACAAGCTGGGCGAGCTACGTTTGCTGAGAGAAACACGCAGATAGTGGAGGGACTGCTGTGTGTTTGCTTTAACAGAAACATGGCTCCATGACAACATCCCAGACGGACATACAGCTGGAGGGACATCGTTCCTGGTGGACGGACAAGCAGCTAGCTCTGAACCTTTCCAGAGCCACTGCAGGAGCAGGACACTGAACACTGTCAGGGACTCCTCACACCCTCCCCATAAACTGTTTGAACTGCTGTCATTAGGAAAACGTTTCCAGAGCAGAGAGTGAGTGGATGATTTCGGACACAACCAAAGTAATTCTGAGGCTGTTCAACTGCAACTCTGAAGAAGACGACCTTAGTGGTTTTAGTGCGCAGGAGGAAAATGAAGATAGCGATCAATGACTTTGCTGGTAGGCTACTGTATATTTTATTTTCTTAACCAGCCGTGTTACAGGCACTGTTCGGAAAAAAACATTTACAGTACATATTTGTGTCTTTTTCCAGTACGTTTTTAATTAAAAGTTTCAAAAATCTTTCTGTATATCATTTTTCTTTGTAAATATCTCATGTCACAATGTGGACACCTGCGGCTTACAGGCATGTTCGGCCTGTATATGGACATTATTATTAATATGATTTTTTTTAAAGTTAGTGGTTGCGGCTTACCCCCTGATGAATCGCCACCTTACCGCGGTGGAGGGGTTTGAGTGTCCCTGTGATCTTGGGAGCTATGTTGTCTGGGGCATTAGCCCCTGGTAGGGTCTCCCAAGGCAAATTGGTTCTGGGGGAGGGACCAGACAAAGAGCGATTCAGAAGACCCTAATGAAGACCAAAAAAAGGACTGCCGCCACCTCGCCCGGAATAGGGAAACCGGGGCACCCCCCTGGAGCCAGCCCCGGGGGGGAGCTCGCCGGAGAGTGTCTGGTGGCCGAGCCTTGGGGCCCCGTGGGGCTCGGTCGGGCACAGCCCGAAGAAGCTACACGGGGCCACTTTCCCGAGGACCCACCAGCCTCGGGGAAGAGGATCGGGGTCGGGTGCTATGCCCACTGGGTGGTAGGCAGGCATCCTGGCGCACTGCCCCCTGGTGGCGTAGACTAGCTCTGGGGATGTGGAATGTCACCTCACTGGCTGGGAAGGAGCCTGAGCTGGTGCGGGAGGTGGAGCGCTACCGGCTAGATATAGTCGGGCTCCCCTCCACACACAGCAAAGGCTCCGGAACCATACTCCTGGAGAGGGGTTGGACACTCTCCTTTTCCGGAGTTGCTCACGGTGAGAGGTGCCGGGCTGGTGTGGGGATACTCACAAGCCCCCGGGTAAGCGCTGCCCTGTTGGAGTTCTCCCCGGAGAGCGAGAGGGTCGCCTCTCTGCGACTGCGTGTTGCAGAGGGGAAAACTCTGACTGTTGTTTGTGCTTATGCACCGAACAGCAGTTCAGAGTATTCAGCCTTCTTGGAGTCACTGGGTGGTGTCCTGGAAGGGGTGCCGCCTGGTGACTCCATCGTTCTCCTGGGGGACTTCAATGCTCACATGGGCAATGACGGTGAAACCTGGAGGGGCGTGATTGGGAGGAACGGCCTGCCCGATCTGAACCCGAGCGGTGTTTTGTTTTTGGACTTCTGTGCTAGTCACGGATTGACCATAACAAACACCGTGTTCGAACATAAGGTTGCTCATAAGTGTACTTGGTACCAGAGTACCTTAGGCCAAAGGTCGATGATTGACTTTGTTGTCGTATCATCAGATCTGCGGCCGTATGTTCTGGACACTCGGGTAAAGAGAGGAGCAGAGCTGTCAACTGATCACCACCTGGTGGCGAGTTGGATCCGATGGCGGTGGAGGCTGCCGGACAGACCTGGTAAACGCAAACGCGTAGTGCGGGTGAACTGGGAATGTCTGGCAGAGGCCCCCGAGGAACTCTGTGGGGGGTACTGAGGGAGTATGGGGTACCGGGCTCGCTGCTACGAGCCATACAGTCCCTGTACAACCAAAGTGCGAGCTGTGTCCGCATACTTGGCAATAAGTCGGACACGTTTCCAGTGGGTGTTGGACTCTGCCAAGGCTGCCCCTTGTCACCGATCCTGTTTGTGGTTTTCATGGACAGGATCTCAAGGTGCAGTCAGGGAGAGGAGGGTGTCTGGTTTGGGGACCTCAGGATCTCTGCTTTTTGCAGACGACGTGGTACTGTTGGCTCCATCAGACCGTGACCTCCAGCACTCACTGGAGCGGTTTGCAGCCGAATGCGAAGCGGCNCAGTCAGTACAGATGAATCTAGACACAATAAACTGTTGAAGTTGTTTGTCTTGGTGGTGAATTTGGAAATTACTGTTCATTGAAAAGGACTTTAAGGAAGAATCTCAATCTGGCACAGCTGAGGTGTAAAAACATCCATAAAACCTGATCCATGACTTGGTACAGTTCAGTGTTCAATGTTGTCTTAAAAAAACAACCACTAAGATGAGCTTTGGGTACCAGGGAAATTTAATGAAGCAAATATTATCTTAAGCCTTAATCAGAGGTGTGTTCAGTGTCTTCATGGTGGTTTGCAGAAGGAAACTTTTGAAGGTCAACTTTAAGAGTGCATCCACGATGGGAGCAGGCGGGGGTGGCACAAGCCATCTCACCGATTTCAATGAAACTTTGCCAGTTTAAAGGGGTCCACCCAAAACAACTTCAGTCTAAGTTTAAGGAAATTTGGTCAAACTGGGGGGATTTCACCACCCCTCCTTGTTTTTTTTGCAAAAATGACCAAAAATCGCCTTAAAAATGGTCAGAAGTAGAAAGCTCTACTGCTGTGAGAATTCAACCAAATCTTTTCATATTTTCAGTGAATGTTATCCTACCCAAGGACAATCTATTGTCAATGTTTTGTTCTCCTACGACCAGTTTCATCACACAAATCATGTCAGCCAAGACCGCCTCTCTCACCCAACAGTGAAAACTGTTAAAATACCCAAAGTTTAGGCCAAAATATCTCCAATGCCCGAGCACACTTCAAAAAACTGAGCATACCGTCTAAAAGGTGGGACTTCATACTAACATTATCTACAATAAAATCTTCGGGCACTCACTAAATTATTTTACAGGAGGACTGCAAACTTGTCTCCCACCACAGGTTACCCGCTTCAGTTTTTTTCATTATAACGCGTTGATTCTGTAATTATGGCACAGCAACAGACAGAAAATGCCACAAAATGGTTACACACCATACACTTTAATGAAATAGAACCAATTATATTTAATTGCTTAAATAAAAACAAATACTTTGCCCACCACAAGGTACCCACGTACATTTTTTTTTTATTATATCGTACCAATTCGGTAACAATGGCACAACAACAGACAGAAAATGCTGCAAAATGGTTGCACACCATAAACTTTAATGAAATAGAACCATTTTGAAAGCTTTTGTTTGACCTTAGCCATAAAAATAAGAATCGGCTGCTTAAAAATGACCTCTGTTATTGTATAAGTGAACTATGTGACGGGACTCACTCTTGGCTAAGTCAAACCAGGAGTCATAGAACACTATCAAAACGCTTCCTTTGTCTGTATTTGAATGTGAGAATGATTTTNCTTCAAACTGATCTGAGTTCAGAGGATCTTCTGGATCCAGATGTGACTCTTCAGCACAAATTACAAACGTTCATTGACTTTAACTAACACTGAACATTTTCTACAGTTTCTGATACAAACACTCAGCTTTTGTCACAACAAACTGAATTCAGGACAAAAAGCAGAAAACATGAACCAGAGCAGATTGACAGCTTCATGGATGAAGTTCTGTTTGAACATAAATGAGCTTCAGTTGTCATTAAACACATCAGATCTCCAACAGTAACAGACAGACAGTGAACTGACCTCAGAGTCTGCAGGCTGCAGTCTGGACTCTCCAGAAAACCACACAGATGCTTCACTCCTGAATCCTGCAGGTCTTTGTTCCAGCCCAGGTCCAGATGTTTCAGATGGGAGGGGTTGGACTTCAGAGCTGAGCCCAGAGAATCACAGCTGATCTCTGACAAACTGCAGTCCATCAGTCTGAATAAAGAATAAAAGATGTGAGTTGAGGAGACAAAGTTTCTGCTTGAAATCATTCACAGTTTCATCATCTGTTCGCAACAAACACAAGCAAAAACACTGACATTTATTTCACTTTCTGCTCAGAGTCACACAAACACACAATCAGGAAACGTGGACAAAATGAGGCTCCACACTCTGAAACGTCTCCATGGTTTCACAACATGAACATATTTCAATCAGGACTCTACATTCAGATGCTTTCATTACTGATCATGTGTCACTGATGGAGGAACGTGTCCATCACAGCGTTCAGAGGACCAGGTGACGTCTTCACACTGTTTTCTCAAACACAAACATCTTCACTTGAAATGACACAAAGCAGAGAAAAGAAGACAATCAGCAGAAAGTCCAGCAGAACATGTTCCCGTTGCTCCCTGATCAATGATTTCAACTATTCATCAAGTGTCTCAACATCTGCTGCTGGATTTTCTGTTCATTGAACAAGTGATGGATCAGCTTCACATTTCATTAGCAGCAGCATCAAACGGCTGCATCTTGGATGTGAACATTTCACTTTGTCAAACATCACATGGCTTCATCCAAGTGTTGAAGCAGCAGATGCTGAATATTAGTTTGTGTCTCACAGGCTGAGAGCATCTTCAGTTACAGCTCCAACAATCAGTCCACTGTTTGATGAGTCCACGGACACAACATGAGAAACACTTCCATTAGGGGTGAGCATATGACGATATTAGATCATGAAGGATTAGAACATGTAGACGATCTGCCAAAGTGAGGAGATCGTATGGATTGTTTGGGTCACATTCTATAAATTGCAGTTCTATGCTGATGCACCGACGCACCAGACGTATTACATTGTCAACCTGACCGACCAATCATAGTGAATTACGGGCAGTGACACAATTTGACACAATAGAGATGGCTGCGCACATGGACACAGTGGCTCCTTCAGAAGACAGCAAGAGTGAAGGTTTTGAGTGTCTTGTCTCTCCCAGACATTCATTCTGCAAAACTTACAGTCGAGAGACTTTGCTGAACATCCCGGCAATGAACGTTGCTAAAATTGTGGCGCTCGCTTGTTATGTGGACACACAACACCAACACGGAGTCCAATCGGAGTCTATGCCGGCAGCTACCCAAGAGAGAAGGAAGCGGTACGAACGTAAACAAAGGAGGAGGAAGAGAGCCGGGATCCATGATAGGCTAAAGGCTAACCCCTCCAGACCAGCAGGACCGTCCTCCTACTCTCCAATGTCCGCTCCCTCCACAACAAGCTGGACGAGCTACGTTTGCTGAGAGAAACCCTCAGAGAGTGGAGGGACTGCTGTGTGTTTGCTTTAACAGAAACATGGCTCCATGACAACATCCCAGACGGACATACAGCTGGAGGGACATCGTTCCTGGCGGACGGACAGGCAGCTGGCTCTGAATCTTTCCAGAGCCGCTGCAGGAGCAGGACACTGAACATTGTCAGGACTCCTCACACCCTCCCCATAAACTGTTTGAACTGCTGTCATCAGGAAAACGTTTCCAGAGCACTGAAGGAATGAAGCTCCAGAATGATCAACAGCCTCATTCCACAAGCTGTCAGAATGCTGAACTGCTGATCCAGACATGCAAACACTTCTTTATTTAATTGCTTTTAGTTATTGGATCCTGAAGAAACGCTCTCTTATCTCGTTTGTACTACTGTGTATGTACAGCTAAATGACAATAAACTTGATTCGATTGATTTGAATGTCTTACCTGCCTCCTTGTTTGTGTATGTAGCCACATGGTGAGCCATGGCTGAAAGCCAAACAGAGGAGTTGGTCGCTAAAAAAAATTCCACTTCCATTATATGGAAGTGTTTTGGCTTTTCCCCAAATGACAAAGCGCAAACAAAGGTAATTTGCAAAGTTTGCACAGAGACGATTCGCACATCGAATGGCAACAAGATGAACTTGTTCAATCACTTGACGAGAAAGCACCCTCAACAGTATGCTGAGAGCCATACGGGACCGACGGCAGCACCGCAGCCAGAGGCAGCAGCTGGACCCAAGCAGACAACGTTAACACAGGCATTTGATAAAGGCACTCTGTATGAGAAGACAAGCAAGCAGTGGAAAGAGGTACCAGAAGCAGTTACCTTTTATCTTGCAAAAGATATGGTTCCGTTCAAGACAGTAGAAAACGAGGGGTTCAAATGCCTGCTCAAAGTAGTTGACCCGCGGTACCAGCTAAATTGTCTGTTTTGTTTTTCTTCTAGGACTGTTTTACATACAGAAATGGTTTGGTTGCACTCACCACAAATTTGGAAATTAGTCTCAAAAATACATGTAAGATTGTGATAAAATTGAAATTGTGATTTTGAAAAAAAAATTGTGATATGATATTTTTGCCATATTGCCCAGCCCTAACTTCCATCATGGTTGGAGTCATTTATCCAGTAAAACAGCAAACTGGTTCCAGTTGGTCCACTGTCAACACTTTCTGCTTTCCGTCACATCAAGTGAATCTTTGTTGTTTTGGACTGACTCAGCACACAAAGAAAACATGATGTCTGACCTCAGAGTCTGCAGGATGCAGTCTGGACTCTCCAGAAAACCACACAGATGCTTCACTCCTGAATCCTGCAGGTTGTTGTTAGTCAGGTCCAGATGTTCCAGATGGGAGGGGTTGGACTTCAGAGCTGAGACCAGAGAATCACAGCTGATCTCTGACAACCTGCAGCCCTCCAATCTGAATAAAGAATTAAAGATGGAGACAAAATCAGTGATGATCCATCAGATGTGTTCAGATTCTGAATGTGCAGATCAACATGACTTTGTCCTCATCAATGAGCTTTTCTCTCCAACCAGCAGAGTGACTTTGTCCTTCTGTTATTGTGGATCATCATCATGTCAGCTTCTACACACATCATCCAGATGTCAGCACAACATCCATCCAGCTGTTCATGTCCACACACATCAACAACATGCTGCTGACCTCAGTCCACTCTCTCATCACAGGACCAACATCACATTTCACATGTTGGACTACAAACTTTTCATCTTTCATTCATTCCATCACCTTCTTCTGTTGTTTATCAGCTTGGTAGCTTTGTGTCATTAAAATCTCCAGTGTGTCATCAGACAGCAGCCTCATGCCATGTGTACGTTACAGAGGGATTCTGCTTCCTGCTGTCCACACTGACTGTCTACTGCTCTCTTCCTCACACAACTCCACTGGAAGGAATCAGTTGATGAGCTCAGCTCACACTAACATCCAGCTTCAGCTTCTGACTGACACACATCAAGTGAGCGTCCACCAAAGTTACAGACTGTTGAAAACTAAAGTCCCTCTTTGACTTCCTGAGGCTCCACTGCAGCTCAGCACCAACACTGTGGAAACACCAACATCCTGACTGGATGTGAGGAACTCAGACTGCTGAAGCCTCACATCACTTTACATCAGCTTCACATTCAGACACACAGCAGGACTGTGGATTCAGTCCTCCATCTGGGAACACTGCAGTCAGCTGATCAGGGCGTTTATTCACAGACGCTTCAAGGAATTCAAACATCTTCAGACTGTTTTCAGGAAAATCCTCAAAATTTATCAAACTTCAGGTAAGTATCTGAACTGAATAAATTCCACCAACAGCCAGTGAACTGACCTGAGAATCTCCAGTTTACAGTTTGGACTCTTCAGTCCATCACAAAGACGTTTCACTCCTGAATCCTTCAGGTCGTAGTTCCTGCTCAGGTCCAGTTGTGTCAGATGGGAGGGGTTGGACTTCAGAGCTGAGGCCACGACTTCACAGTGACTCTCTGAGAGTCCACAGTAAGAAAGTCTGTCATGACATAAAAGATAAAACATGTTATTATGAGAGACTCTTTATGTTTCCTGCTGAGAAGAAAACGTTGTGTCCTGTTTCTACTGTGACTCAGGATATTGTGACTGAGTGGAGCTCAGTCAACAGGTACAGCTGAAAGATGATGATGTCTCTGCTGTGGACCTTCTGCTGCCAGCTTCACCTCCATCACTCAACATCTACAGTCTGCTGCCAAACGCTGCACAAATCAGACTGATCACTGCACAGCATCACACCTGAACATCATCAATATGATCATCAGTAAATACTCTGCTGTGATGACAGACCACTGTGGGAACTTTTCTTCTCAACATTCTGTCATCAGCTTCTCAACAACATGTTCAGCACAAACACCAAGAACAAAGCAAGGAGGTTGAATTATTTCCAGCAGAACGTCACACAAACATGTGCTCAGGGTTTGTAGCATTAAAAACACAACTGTGATCTCTGTGTGTCTCAGATCTCTGGAAACAGTCGGACTTCTAGCGTTGTGCTCTGATATATTCACACCTCTGAGCATTTTCTCATACGACTCTTCTCTGCATCAACAAGACACAAAACAGCAGAGTTTCACTCTGAGGAACTGAACATCAGGAAAGATGTCAAATGTGGACTCTGGAACACGACTTCCCTCTTTGAAATGAAAAGCTGAGTTCAGAATCAGTAAAATGCTCCATGACTCAGTTCCACACACTTTGCAGCGTCAGTTTTTGTCTGATCAGCACTTTACGGAGCCTCATGTCCAAGTTAACAAGCTTTAGATAGAAACTGTTGGACAAGAGACTGAATCACTTCACTGATCTCAGGATGATTCTCTGGAACCAAACCACTGCTACAGCATCACCATCGTCTCATCACTGTCAGCTAGAGTCATGTTGAAATCTTACACTCAAAAAAAAGAATAAATACAGTGGGATCAAATAAAAAAGAAAAATAATTTGAAATATAAACTCAGAATTCAAATTAAAAATCCATAACAGTGACAGCAATAGTTCATCATTTCTGTCAGAGCTCAGAAGTGTTGTTGGTTCATGATCCAGATCTTCAGTTAAACTCTGAAGAGCAGTGAAATCATCTGGTAGAAGCTGTTTGTCTGATGAAATCAGACTGATTTCAGAGGCTCCTCATGTGATCAGAACTTCACTGCTTCACTGAAAACTGTAAAATGCTTCCACATGAAGAACCTCTGCAGTTCTTCTTGTGTTCCAGCAGATCTGCATGTTTCCTCCATCAGCCAAAGGAAGAAACGGAAGAACAAACTGTTGAATGGAACAATCAGTAGAATAAAATAGAACAACTCTTCATTTACGGATCAGCTTCAAACACAACCATCTAAAACCTACTTTTTCACAGCGTTTGAAGCAGCCGCCATTTTGACGCCGTCAGCCTTTTGAGGAGAGTTTTTAGTACTTTTAATCACCACGTCCTGTAGTTTGTGCTGGACGAGCTCTGATCTGCCAGACACTTTAAATGCGTGCTCCGAGTTCCACTCAGACCGTGTGCCACAACGGCCCAACACGCATGCCACCTCAACTCGCCATGAAACAGGAAGTGGCGTATAACTAGGCCGTATGTGCTCCGATCTGCCCTAAACTCGACATGCTGGATCAGAGTCCAGCCCGACCGCGGTTCTGCCAAACCCTAACGTGTGTGAAGGCCGACAATCATACGACAAAGACCTGACCACCGCTGCTTGCAGCTTTAATTTTACTACATCTCCTCATGAAGTGCCTCTGATGGGCACCAAACTCTACATTTTAAAACTCCTGTTGGTGCCAATCAGAGGAAAACAATTCAGCCTCTTCCGGTGAAAAATAAAGGTTTTATGTTTGGTGAAACATCAGGGAAGACAGAAACATTGACATGTTCTAACAAACCTCCACCATCATATAACTGGTTAGTGTTATTCTACCAGAGCAGCTATATGTGAGTCCAGATTTTACACATGGTCAGCTCAATCAATATTCACCACTTTAAAAGAAATGAGTCCAACTGAAGACGGTCAGACGTGGAGCATTCNTGCACATGCTGCTCATAGTGGACTGGGCCATGAAGTTCATTCCAACCAGTTTTTGGGAAACGCAGCACGACTGGTTTGGAAAGAAGGGAAGTCCTGGCATCTATCGGTAAATATCATAAATAATAAAATATCGTAAATAATAAATCAGAAACACACTTAAATTTAGTTGTTGAGCAGCTTTTGTCCCTTCAGTTACTGAGAAATAATCAGAAAACAGAACCAACAAATCTGCAAAAATGAGTTTTCATGAGTTCAGGTCCTTCAGTCTCCAGTTTCTGATTCCTGAAACTTCAAGAAGTTTAGATTCATAAATATTTGTGGCAGCTGAAGCTGTAAAGAGACGATAATATCCCAAATATATAAATAAATATATATATATATATACAGTCATGGAAAAAATGATTAGACCACCCTTGTTTTCTTCAATTTCTTGTTCATTTTAATGCCTGGTACCACTGAAGGTATATTACCTGAAGAATACAATGAACACGACAAAAAATGCAGCTGATTACATAATACTTTATGTCCTATTTGACATGCTAAATTTAATTGTATTCCCAGGGTATATAAAAGGCCATTTCATGTCATGAGCAGCACTGCACATGCAAAGGCCTAGAGTGGTTTCCTGTTTACATTCAAGCTGTAGCACAACTCAGAAGTTGTCAGCTGTCACATAATGCCAAAAACAAAAGAATTATGTGAAGCTACAAAGGTTGCCATCTTGGCACTGCTGGAAATTGGCATGAGTGAGAGACAGGTAGCGAAAAAACTGAAGATCTCCACGACAGCTGTTCATTACACCAAGAAACAACAACCCCAACACGGTACTAACACATTGCCAGCTGGTCATGGCAGGAAATGCCTTTCTACCCACGAGATGACCGTGCACTCATTAGTTCTGTGTCAGGAATCGTCGTCAGACGTCCAGGGACCTTAACAATGAGTGGGCACTGTGGAGAAATGTGACTTATTAAGCAAGGACAGTTGGAAATCGACTTCTTGAAGCTGGTCTGAAGTCACACAGGGCACAGAAGAAGTCCTTCATCAACCAAAGGCAGAGGAGGTTACTCTTTGCTGGGGATTACAAGGATTGGACCGTTGATGATTGAGCTAAGGTTCTCGTCAGTGATGAATTCAATGTTCAGCTGATGCCCACTCCAGCCAACTTACTGGCTAGGAGGAAGCCTGGAGAAGCCTACAGACCAGACTGTCCTGCCTCTACAGTAAAAAATGGGGGTGGATCAGTGACCATCTGGGCTTGTTTCAGTTTGAGTGGAACAGGGCAAATGCAACTGTGTGAAGGGCGAATGAACCAGGTCATGTACAGAGCTGCTCTACATCAGCTGGAAAACTCTTTCCTGCCTCCAGTGACTGGACTTTCCAATAAGACAATGTTAAAGCCTGGATGGAGAACCAGAGCACTGGAACCATGCCTTGGTCACTCAATCACCAGATCTACATCCAGTTGAAAATCTGTGGAAAAATCATCAAATGCAAAATGGAGAACCACAGGCCCTGAAACAATGCAAATTAGTTTGAATTTGTGCCACAGGAATGGGCTGCTGTGACAGCAGAACAATGTCAGAAGCTGGTGGAGAGATACCAAGACGCATGGCTGCAGTCAACAAAACCAACAGTTACACAATCAAGAACTAACTCCTGTGTGTATCATGTGACTAAAACAGACAGAAAAGAAAACACAGAATGCCTAAAAGCACTGTTTTTGGCAGATTTTGGTAGATTTTGGTTATTATCAAGAAAACCATAGAAAATGGTTAGATTGGATAATAATCCATTGTTTCTCTCCACACCAGGGAAATTTGCATTGTCACAGCAGCAAAATTTTAAAAAAGAACAGAAGAACACAGCAGCACTAAAAATATACATAATAATAAAAATAACAATAATAACAATACCAGCTCTTAAATTAAACTCTATTGAGCTGTTTCTGTTGTTATCATTACATTCATCCAAACAAATGTACCTTCAGTTACACCAGGCATTAAAATGAAGAAAACAAGGGTGGTCTAATAATTTTTTCCATGACTGTATAATGCCTCCATCAGCCTTTTGAGCCTTCCAGTTGGAGACTACAAAGGCTGCAGCATTTGATACTGTTGTTATTTTACCTGATAATGATATCAAGTACACAAAGTACACAATTTGTCCAAATGCAACTTTTTCAAATAAACTTTTAAATCCATAACTTGTTAGAAAGTACTGTTTGAGTTGAATAAACCTTCAAAACTAAAGTACTTGGACATCAAGTAGTACTTTGTGTGGAGTACTTCTTGAAAAAACCACTAAAGTATTTCTGGTGGAATCAGCTTTTCAGACCAGAAGTGGTGCGCTTCAGCGTTCATCCACTGAGGGAGGTGACCATGTTTGGACACCAAGGAAACTAAATGTGCAACAAACTCCTCCTCCAACCCTGCTGCTGATAAACTAGTTCATGATTAATCTGATCCCCTGAAGTCTGACCAACAGAATCAACCATAACATCATCATATAAAAGTTGCTCTTCTGTATTTCTGTCTCTTTTATTTGCCTTTTAATCCGTGTTTTCTCTGTATTGATGTATTCTGAGAGGTTTGGTCTCCTGCTTTATGTACAAACTGATGAGATGCTGATTTACAGCAGAGTTCCTGAACAGTGATCACAGATCACCTGCATAGTCTTTAATATGCTGCTCTGTTGTCACTGAAACTACTGCACACTGTGTCCACACTCATATATTCATAGAGAACATTTGAATTCATCACTTTGTTCCTGAGAGTTTAAAGACTGAAGGTTGAATCTGTCCAACTTGACTGTTGACTCTGAGCTACTTTCCAAGGAAGGAACAGCTGACCTGGACTGTAATGACATGTGGATCTGATCTGATCATAAACCAGCTCAGTCTTTTCCTCCTGATCTCTTTCCACATTTATTAGACCAACTCATGCAGAGCTCAACTTGATAAACATGATAAACTGCTGGATCGAAAATACGGTGAAACTAAAACATGTTAATGTGGAGAGAAAGTTTCCACTCACCTCCTCTGGAAACAGTCAGAACCACCAGCAGAAACACTGAAACCTTCATCATCATCATCCTGATTGTTTCACGTTTCACAGCAGATCTTGAAGGTAAAAGACTGAACTTTAGACTCCTGATGTCAAGGAGAGAATCTGTAAATGTGACGTCTATTCTAAAGATTTCATCCAATCAGGTTTGTATCTTCAGACAAGGAGGCTGTCCTACAGAGAGAAGGAAAACACCTGAGTGCTGCGTTATCAGGAAAGAAGCAGCCATATAACTCCAACTTTGTTCCATGAAGTTCAGGTCATGTGATGTTTTTTTCTGCACAAAATGAAACCATCGTCTGCAGCTGCTTCAGTCGACATGTTTTAATACAGAACAATGAGGAACATAAACATTTATGATTATAAAAAGCTCTGCTGCTGCAAATGATGCCAGACAGCAATGAAAACTGCTAAACGTGTATTAATATATTTATTTTCCTGATCGATGCAGCTGATTATTGATAACTGACAGCTGCACATTAAAACTATTAAACCTCATATATTTAAACCTGATCTTGTGTTGAAGTGTGTTTAGGTCTAATTCTGTCCCATGATGCAGGAAATCACTTTAGTTTTAGACCAAATCAAAGTGAACTCAATGTTATTGACTGAATATAGTCTGTAATAAATACCAGCAGAATAATAACCGTTTTCTAATCAGTGTTAAAGATTCTAGATGTTTAAAAATACAGTGATGTGACTCTGAGCTACTTCACTGAACACCTCCAGTGTGGATCAGTCAAATTAATGCCGTAATTTACTGACAGTCTTTGTTCAACATCCTCCTTCAGACTGACGTCTCACTGATCGTTTGTCGCTTGTCCTTCCACATGAGGAGACTGTTGATGCAACTGTTGAGGCGTCTTCGTTTTTTGAGATAGAAGACAAACAACTTCTCTCCTTTAACGTTGTTTACTCTACAATGTAATTATGTATTGGATCAAGGATCCATCATTGGTTCAGAAAACCACAGTCACCCCAGTAGTACTGCTAGGTAGCATTATCTGAACGTAGTGTGAGTGAGTGAGTGAGTGAGTGAGTGAGTGAGTGAGAGAGAGAGAGAGAGAGAGAGAGAGAAGCTGCATTCCTTCTATCTGACCTGGCATAACCTCCATGTGTTCAGTCCTTCAGGACCTGGGACTGATGCTTGAATCCTTCTCTCAGCACAACTCAACCATTAATACACATTAAATGGTGTCAGTGTCAATGCTAAGCTAGCAGTGCCTTTATAAAATAATACATTCCAACACAGTCAGCATCCATCCATCCATTATCTATACACCGCTTAATCCTCATTAGGGTCGCGGGGGGNTCATTTGGAGAAAAACATCCAGATTTGACGACAGTGCAGAAGCTCAGATGGTCACAGAGAACAGTCGAAGTGAGGCTGCTGTTCTGTCTGAATTCAGCCTGGAATAAAAATGCTGCTTCCTTTTATTATCAACTCCAGTGAATTCTTTTCCTGTCAGCCGTCTGATTAAAGTCTGATCTGCCTGCAGGTTGCTGTTAATACAAACTCAACACTTTGAGCAGTAACTTCACAGTAACAGCCTTCCCTCACAGACAGCTGATCCTGTTCTTCACTGTTTTACCGTCACATTGGGCAGCTCAGCTCAGCTCAGCTCAGCTCAGCTCAGCTCAGTTTTGAACTCAGAGTAGAAATAAAAACTGTGTGAGAGCAGCAGCCTCAGACACACAGCGTTCAGCTTTCAAACATCTGAATCATTAGAACAACGAACCGATGAAGACAAACCACAACATCAGCTACACATCTGAAGAACATTCTTTCACTCTGTGAAAATATTAATAATATATAGCTAAAAACCATATATAGAACTTCCTTCATCCTAAAACCATCATCTTCCATCAGGTCAGTTTACAGCAGAAACAGTTTCTTACTTTGTGTCTGAAGGTTCTGGTTCTTCACTGAAATATGGAGGATCTTCTTTGGACCCGTCACTCTTCATAGACAGACGGCTGGATGCTGCTCTCTGTCTCCTGAAAAACATTTGTTTTCTCATCAATCACTGATCAATCCTCTGATCATAGTTTTAAATACACAAACTGCAGATGAGATGGTGAATGTTTGCAGTCGTCCTCCTTGATCAGATCACAGCTTTTCTACTGTCAGAGATGCTGAGAGGAAAACAGGACAAATGTTTTCTATTTGTGTCAAAAAAACCTTTTAAGAGTTCATTTTAATACACCAACGAAAATCAACCATCAGGGATAGAGAATATAACTGACAGATGTAGATAAAAAGGAGTCGTATGAATAAGTTAGAGGTAGTTTTCTTACTTTGTGTCTGAAGGCTCTGGTTCATTACTAAAATATGGAGGATCTACTTTGGACCCGTCACTCTTCATAGACAGACGGCTGGAGGATGGAAACTCCTCCTCCTCCTCCTCACAAACATTCATCTTGTGGACTTCAGTCAGTCTGAGAGGAAAACCAGCAACACTCAGTGAGTCAAGTTCCAGTCGGCTCATTTCTAACTGTCATGTCATCAGGAGAACTGATCACTAGAACCTGGTTAGTGGATCAGAGAAACATGTTGTCAGCAGGTAGTTCTCCTGGAGATCACCTGTTTCTCTGCTGTGTTTACATGGAACCAGCTTTCTAAGCAGCTTCTTGCATGTGTGTAGAGACCTTCTGAGCTAACACTGGCTCTTGTGCATGTAGAAGAACAGGAAGCTGTGAGAGCAGCAGCCAAACAACCACAAAGCAGCAGCAGTGGAGCATCCAAGAGGAATTATTCAAGTAAAATGTGATGAAGGAGGGCAGCATCTTTAAACATCTGGATGGAGGAAACATTCTGTGAGGATATTTTAATGTAGAGTCTTCAATAAAACACAGAAATATGTTCAGATCAACCTCCTTTCATTCTGGTCTACTTTTACAGGGATCTCTACACTCAGTGTCCAGTTTATTAGACACACTGAGCTGAACATAATGCAGTATAATACTGCAGCTTTACCAGAATACCACAGCGCTGTAGAGGTGCAACGTTCAGCTTTGTTTGGAGTTAAAGTTCATCAGCACATCAGTAAAACAGGTTCAACATGATGAGATGAGATCAGCGTTACTGATCCTCACTCCTGTGGCTGTTCCAGGACTTCCAGAATACTGTTGATCATTAACGAAGTAATGCACATTATAGAGTGAAACACAAGTAAACCGAACGTTCTCATGAAGGACAGATCAAATGAGGACCTTTAATGGCCCTTTAAGGGACAGATGAAAAGCAACATCAGTATGGAAGCAAACTGTCATTTACAGGGTTAAAATCCTGAAAATGAATGAATATTTGGTATTTATGATCAGGACTGATGCTGATTAATAATCTAGCTCAGTCAAAGTGGACAATAATATTAATATATAACAGATTTATGGCAGCTGTTGTCCTTCAGGTCCTCTGTGTAACATATTAAATCTGATGAACTGAGGCTGATCAAGGTCTACCAGGATGTTTATGATCCAGGGAGGAGCTCACGTGGAGTTTGTTCATGCAATAAAACTTTGATATTTTCTTTTATCTGTTTATGGCGGTTTGCATGTGATGAACCATCCAATGATGTTCTTCTTTCTGCAAATGAAGTGTGTGTTTCTGGTACATATCACTGCTGTTGCAGCGCTCAGGTCTAATACACACATACAGATAGAAGAAGTGTGAAGCTGTCAGAGCTTTGCTGTGTTAGTGGTAATACAGCAGTTCAACTGATCTGACAGACGCAGCAGCATTTTGTCTTCCAGCTCAGTGAATCAGCTTCAGGTCGGTTTACAGCAGAAACAGTTTCTTACTTTGTGTCTGAAGGTTCTGGTTCTTTACTGAAGTTTGGAGGATGTCTTCTGGGCCGGTCACTCTTCACAGACAGACAGCTGGATGCTGGAGGCTCTGCTCCGTCCTCCCGTTCCTTCGAATCACTCATCTTCATCACTCAGTGTGAAAGTTAAACCAGCAACACTGAGTTTGACTCACAACACAAGAACCAGGACAAACAAACCTGTAAAGAGTCACAGTTCAGACTTTCAGATGAGGAAATAAAACCCAGAGTCAGAGTGGAACAGAACCAGTCAACAGTCCACCTCCTGAATGAAAAGATCCTGATGTTCTGTTGCAGTCCACAGACAAACAGCTGACTGAGAGACTCTGACAGCAGAACAATATTAATGATGGACCAACACTCACCTTGTTTTCCTCCTCTGTCAACTGTCAAATGGAGTTTGAACTCACTGAAAGCTTTGATTGTTTTCTCCCTGAGCTCTGTACCTGGATCACCTGAGCAGAGCTGCTCCTCCTCTCTAATAAACACAACAGATCAGGACTGATGTTCACCAGGACTTTGTGTTCCTGTTGGTTACTCATTAAACAGACACTGAACACCAGAGTTTCACTGACACCTGCATCAAATCACAAACTCACAGCTCCTGCTCACCATCCATCACTTGGACTCAACGTATTTACAACCACAGACCTCAGAGCTCCATCCAGGAACATCCATAGAAATGAACACAGCTGCTGCTCCACACTAAACGCCCCTGTGGCTCCAGAGTTGATGGTTTCTGCTGCAGGACACTGATCACTGTAGCTTACACTAACACAGGTCCTCCACTCACCATCACAAACTGAAGACTAAACTGAGAACAGATGCAGAGGAGCTGCTGACTGTGTCGCAGGAAAGTATATATTTAAGATGTTCCACATCTGAATGAGAAAGTGGATCCATAATGTGTCACATGGATCTAGATCAATATTCACACAGTGACAGACAACCATGCTGGCTGATGGAAGATGTTTGTATAAAAGCTGAATCCTGCTCAGACCAAATCCTGGAACCAAACAACAGCTGAACAGAATAATGGTGAACAGAAAACAGCCCCACATGTCCTTATGAGGAAAATATGATGTTATATGATGTGAACACGACAAGCACAACACAACATCAGTGTCTGACAGACAGCTACTTTACTGAGCACACAAAACAACACGACAACAGCACCAGTGGCCTGTACTATGAAGCGAGATCAACATATCCAGGATGTCTTTCAGAGATCCAGCTTGACTAACCCTAACAACAGCACTCAGGACAACCGGTCCTACGACGGTAGTTATCAACTCGGTAAGTCAATCCAGGTTTGTCTGATCTGAGTATGAGTGTGTGCACATAAAATGGGCGGCGTTATCGGCCTCTGACCAATCATGACTATGGACAAGTCTGGCTGCAGAGCGGCTCACTTTACCGCTGAGGAGCAGAATACAATCTTTGCATAAGATGAAGAATATAAATCTGACTTTTTTTTTTTTTTTTTACTTTCATCTGCAGCGGTGTGAAGAGGACATGGGAACAAATGAAGAACAAACATAAAAACATGATTCAAAGCGGTGTAGCTTATTAACGTATCCTACCAATACAAGCTTCAATGCTAAAGTCAGTTTACTGTTGTGGGGTGAGACTAGTATGGAAAAAAATATGAAATAGCTTTGACATTGCCTGTAGCCAACAGGAAAATAAATGAAGGGAGACAGGAGCTCATAGAGATCCTCATCAAGGTGCACTAAGGGGTTTTGCCGGTCCCAAAAAACCCTCACACTCCTCAGTGATCCCTCACATCTGCTTCGATGTGTAGCGGGTCTTCAATAAATGCTGATGCTATTATGTTGAGAACTGCTTCTGAAACTGATTCTGCTCCTTCTGAAGTTTTACGGGAGAGAACTGATTTTCAGTGGGGGGGGGGTTACCCAGTGATCTCAACCTCCAACAGAACCTGCCGTTCAGCATAAGTTACCATGGTGATGTACCGGGTAAGAAGTGAACCGCTGTCGTAGGACTGAAAACCAGGGATTTAACCTGAAGTTACCTCGCTAACCCCAAATCCTACTTTGAAGAACAGGCCCCAGGAGACAACAGGACCAACACAAGTTCAGCACACAATCAACAGAAACTAAAACTCCAGTGTTCTGATCCACAGTGGACTCTGTCGCTAACAGTTACCTGCAGTGAGCTCAGCTTCACCAGAAACACTCTGCTGCTGCTGCTGCCTCACTGTCCTCAACAACAGTCAGATCCACTGAGCCACACTCACAACATCCTCAGGTGGCATCTGTGGCTGGAGCTCCTCTTCTTCACGTCTAACCTGCTGACAACAAAACACACTTTAACATCCAAAACTCAACCAGTCACATGTTAAGTGAAAACATTTAAGCTCACATAAATAGAGTCTCACAGCTACACAGCTATTGTGTATCTAGTCTGTGGTGAGGAACACTGACACCTAATGATTGTGTCTCCAGCCTGGTCTGATCCCAGTCTTATTATCAGTCCTGTCACACAGTACACTGACTGCACATTAACTCAACTACACGTCTTCAATGGGATTTTCTTTGGAAGCTACTTTCTACTGTCTGGATTCACACAACCAGCATCATTAATGTGACTGGAAGGTGAACTATTCACAACGTAAAGCAAACAAACACACTGCATTGAAACACAACAAGAACACAACATCAGCAGCAGTCAACAAGTGTGGAGCTGTTATCAGGAAATATGACCACACCGTGAACCACCATAATTGCTTTAAATACTCACCACTGATGGAATATGATATGAATGAGACATAAACTGGTCCTTTTCTATTCAAAAGTGATTCTTGCAAATATAAACAGAGATAAATTAGGCCTCATCCTAGAACTGTACAAAGACATTTAATCTGTGTAATGATATAACTTCATACAAGCTGTACAGTAGACAGAGCTGAGGCCAGAATAATCCTGCATCACAATGAAGTGTTTTTGTGTGGAATCGTCCTTGGATCAACCTTTTAAATTACACCTATATTTGGAGAGAAATCATCCTTCGAACTAAATTGCTCATTTCACTGATCCTTCATTGTGGTAGGTGGCGCTGTCTTGAAACAAAGGCTCTCAACGTGCGGCCGTAAAGGAAACTGCGGCCCGAGGAGTGCGGTCCCACGTGTCCCCTGGGGCGCTTTTCCACGCGAGGGATCGCGTCGCTCGGCGTGCACCAGCGGGCCATTATGTGGTCACATGACGCAGCTCTCCCATTCACCAGACACCAGTCCTGTAGAAGCGGCCAACTAACACGTTCAACAGCGGCTTGTTTAGCTGTTTTACGAAAGTTTCGCGATGCGTCGGACCGCCACTCCCCGTGTCTCATTTGCATAAAGTAGAAGTCAAGTCTACTTTATGCAAATGAGCTGCAGGTAGCTTGTTGGCGATGCTACGCCTCGTCGCTCAAAACGCCCCGCGACGCTCCAGAACAGGACGCGCCGTGGAGCGTTTCACCAGAATGGGTAGCGGGATTTTGCCAGATCCAGTGGACACATAGCAGCGTGATAGTCTCCAGCCCCGAGTGAGGATTAAGGTGTCTAGATAACGGATGGATGGATGGATGGTTTTCACGGTAAAGATAATCATTGCTGGAGCGCTGCTGTAGCTCACCTGGTTGCGCTGGCGTCCCATGCACAGGGCTACAGTCCCGATGTGGAGGTTATGAGCTCGAATCCCGCTCATGGCGCTTTCCCACACTTCCTGCCCCCATTCTTCTTCCCCACTTTCCTGTCTCTCACTTCACTATCAAATGACTGCACAAAGCCAAATATAAATATATATAAAAAAATCAGAGTAGATGAGCCGCTGCTGCTCCAGTTGCACATTAACTGCGATGCGTGATTCAGTACTGAGAAACGGCTTAAGTTTTTTTTATACTTGATTTCAACAAACAAAAAAAAAACCTACGCCACAGTGAGGGGCTGGTACCGACATATGTAACTGATACGTCGTCATGCGGCGGCTCCACGCAGAAAATCAAACATCTGCGGACTTGTGCTTAAGATGTGTTTATTTACCACTGTACCACTACAGCCTTTGCTATACACACACTTATATCCATAACTTGCATGAAACCAAACAAAGGGCTTAAAGACTAGTCTCTAAACGACGACGGTCAAAAACTGTGTGCTTCTCCTGGTTAGCAGCACACCTGAGGAGTAATTACCTCTTCTTCTGTTTATACATTTTCCATGTGCTGCTGTCCAATACGCCACCAACTGTGGCAGTCGAGGAATGACCTGAACACACATACAAATGGCTCCAGTACTTACTAACAAATACAGTGAGAAATAAAAACCCAGAATACCACATTAAAGTTTGTTGCTTTGACATTTTAACTTTTGTCACAACAACAACATCCTGAGAGTCCCGGTTTGTGAAATCACTGCTATCAGAGCTGTGTGTTGTAAACACAGAATAAACTGCTGCATCGAAGACAATGTGACAGAAAACATGTTTCAGTGACAGAAAGCTGTTCACTCACCTTCTCCAGAAACAGTCTGGATCCACAGAAACATCAGCAGAAACATAGAAGCCTTCATCCTCATCATCATCCTGATTAGTGTCACGTTTCAGATCTAAACGGTGAAGACTGAACTTTAGATTCCTGCTGTCAACATGTTCTGTAGATTTCTGTCCAAGAACAAACCACAAACTGAGAGAGAGGAACTCTTGAAATATGATGAGGGTCCAACGTGATCCGCAGGGTCTGAAAACTACTGAAAAACTTTTAAAGTAAAGATTATTGACCTAAAGCAAAGACAGACTGAGCAGCTTGTTTCTCAGATGTTGTCAGAAACACATTTTGGTGTTTCTGTAATAAAAGAAAGTTTCCAAACGAGCTGCTCGTTGGTTTGTTTGTAGCACAAAGAAGTCGAAGCGTCCAACAGCAGCAGCAAAAAAATCTACCATCGTCTGCAGATTTCCTGTTCTACAGTTCAGTGGTTGAAATTTCAATCACATTGTCAGACAGGAAACTTTATAGCTGGTGTTCTGGTGTGATATGACAAGAGGAAGTTGTAGATGGCTAAGTACACTGCAGGGTTTCTACTTTTAAAAACAACTTTTTGACTAATCTACCATCTAAATGTAGCATCAGATCAAGTGTGATCACATGTAAACCTCAGAACTCAACATCAAGGTCTGAGCTGTGCACTAAGAAGCAGGTTCAACATATCCAGGACCTCTTTTCATTGTCTGGCTTCACTTAACCCAACAACTGCAGTCACAATGAACAGTCTGATGAAGCTGGTTGTCAACTCAGTGACACACTTTCAACCCGATACGAGCTTCTTCTTTGTTCCGCCTTTCTGTTCATTTCACACATTTGAACTCTTTAGTTCAACTTATGAGACACTAATTCATGGCTGGAGGTCAGATTCAGGGTTTTTGTTGCATCTGCAGCTTGTAAAATGACAGTTTCAGTCCATGTTTAGTCACCACACCTCAGGATTTTAAC